TCCAGTGAAATATATTTATGTTTGTGGTTGTAATGTGACAAAATATGGAAAAGTTCAAGGGGTATGAATACTTTTGCAAACCACTGTAAGTCCAATCAGCCTGTCTATGAAGGAATAAACAGATAACATCATCTCTTTTTTTACTAACTTCTATCTCCAGCAGTCACTGTGTGAGGGACGGGGGCACCCTGAACAAGTCACAAGTGGACCACATAGAGACCATTAACATTCTCACTCAAACCTCGGAACAATTTAGAATTACTGATTAACATTTGTTTCTGGTCTGTGGGAGGAAACTGGAGAAAACCCACATGTGCACAGAGATAAGTGGAGTTATGCCGTCAGGGGCAACATTACAACGTGCTGTATGCAATCGGGTGTCGTCTGCATAGATGTGATAAAAACCACAACACATAAAACAAAGCAAGGACAAAATTGTCTCAAAAACTCCTGCAGAGTTGTGTTTGACTTGATCCATAATTTTATTGAAAAGTAAAATATGATGAAAATTTTATTCTCATTTATCCAGAACATGATGATCTGAAGAGTTAATAAGAAAGGCAAATACCCCCCTCCCCTCCCCCAAAGTGCTTCACTTCTTTTTTTTAATCCAAAACAGAATCAAAGGTCCATCAAAACCAAATCACAAACTCTTCAGCATCTACAGGCTTCATCAAAACATTTAAAAGGCTTTATAAATGAGTCACATCCTTTGGCCATGATGGATCCAAACTGTTTTATTTTTTCAATTAGTTCAGCAGCATGTTTAAACATAAATCTCTGAACATAAGCTGAGTTAGTCCAGTGCAGTTCTGAGAAATTGAAGTCCACTTGTTTCATTTCTTGGGTTTTATCTAGAAATAAAATCCTCAAGAGTACAAAATCACACAACAGATCCAACCATGTTTTTATGTTCTGCACAACACTGAAAAGCTGAGTGAAAAAAAATAAAATAAATCAACCCATGGCTCTCCGGTTGGATTTAACAGTAAAAGCAGAATCCTGTTCCTGCTGATTATTGCACGGCCTAAACGGAGTCCACCATTCTACTGGGAGAAAACACCTCAGACAGCTGTCAAACACTTCATTCTGTGAAGCACGGTGGTGGTGGAGAGATGATGTGGGCTTGTCTTCAGCTGCAGGACCTGGACACCATGAACACCTTTTATCATGTACAGCAGGTAAAATAAGTATTGAACACGTCACCACTTTTCTCAGTAAATATATTACTAGAGGTGCTAATGACATGAAATTTTCACCAGATGTCGGTAACAACCCAAGTG